GTTTGATCAAGGCTTGACTATTCACCATGATCTATAGTCATTCAATTGTTTATGGGAATAATTAAGCAGCGAGTGAAAGATATATTTGAACAAAACTGGAACGAAACTGTTTCATCTTTGCATCATTTTAGCAGTTATAGTAACCTGAAGACACAGGACAACTTCAACAGGAAATGTACCAGACATGTCATTAATAAGATAGTTTTGTAAATGTAGAATCTCATTACATGATTTTAATGTAAATATGTGTCGTAAATCGAAAGATATTGATGCTGTTAACAGTGTTTGTGCCGATTGTGACAGGTGAAATCGAAGATGAATTCCATGTCTTATTGAAGCGTAACAAGTATTCCAAGTTAAGATCTACATATCTCCCCTTCTTGAATAATGACTCTAAATCTGAAATGTTAATGATCAATATTATCAACTCACAAAATAAACATGTTATCTTTTCAGTGGCTACTTATATAAAGCATGTTTTTTTCTATCAGATTCAAGAAGAAGTAATTTCTGTATATGCACGTGACATCATATTATGAGTTAGTATCAATTGTACGTTAGGCCATATGGCCTAACTGAATAAACCTGTCTGTCTGTCATGATATAGCTTAAATATTGCCGACTGTGACTTACAAAACAAACAAACAAACAGATAGATCAAGTCTTTGAAAGGCATTTAGAAGCGATACACACATGGGGCAGAATTTATGGATGTCAACTTCTTTATTATGATGAACACAACGTTCTGGAATATACTTACTCCTACACGGGTGAATAAATGCTATGAGGCAGAAAACATATATATGTACCTTAAGGACACCAAAAGTAATACGATAACAAAGGTGGAAACTTAACAAGGGGAGCCAACAGATATTTGGCGGGGATAGGGGATTAGCAATGGACAAAGGGAAGCCAACTTATCGCTGATTGGTAATAGGCAATGGGCAATGGGCAAACGGGAGGCCTCTGTTAAGTTTTCATCTTTGTCGTCTTATTTCTTTATAATAAAAGCGGCGTTAAACCCAACATTCAAAGTACATGTGGTGGTTGTTAATGCTATGAATACAATGCAACCTCGATATGATGAATCGGTAAATTCCCCACCCCTGCATATCTTTCTGTCCACGGACTGATTAAGAGAAGTTCCTTTTCAGGTTTAGTTTTTACGGTAAAACATATCCATTATACATTACAAATATAAACGCAAAATCTCATTTCATAATTGGAAATCTCTGCTAAAAGAGTCTATGGTACGCGTCATGAACATATGTTTATGAATCACTATCAAATAGTGATGATACCAGGTGTTCTCGACAAGATGAGCGTAGTCTGCTCCAACGGTGGCACACGGCATAAACACATGCACAGGCATGTCAATTGTTCAGAACACGGGAATATATGATACAAGTCGGTCATCACCTTGCACATGATGCGGCAGATGTGGAAATATCCTCCACGTGGTTACCATACATCTTTTTGAAAGCTTTAGTAAAGCGCTGAGTCTTGCCTCGTTTGAGCAAGAGCCATATTGCGCTCTGTAGAAAGAACATGCTCGATTGTACCTCAAAAGTTGTGAAATGTGAAACACCAAAGGCTGGAGCTGCTGGAATATTGTTAAAAATAAAGGGGGAACTGACTATTGAACAGTTGGAGCCATCCGTCTTGCCATGCACTCTGAATCTTTTTGCAAGCCGTTTAAAAATCACACAATTATAATGCTCTGAATTTATGCATGATTCATGTCAGAACAAAGCTGTGATTATTTCTCGCTTCCGTGCACAGGTAGCAGATATGAGGTTTCTCGAAAAGAACCAGTCTTCTTCAGCTCATGAAATGACATCATTTTTCAATATGTGTTTATCAGATCCCACTGACATTAATATCAAAATAGAACACCAGACAGCTATGTTTTATGCCGATCCTCTCCATAAAAAAATAAATATTGACGGCTGTTTCTATCCCGTCCTTGGATACACGCTCTTTTAGTGCTCGGCATCGCTAAGCGTGTTTGACGGGAAGAGATTAGTACAAACCAGTCTCAATCCTTTGACTTACACACGAGATAAACCTGGAGCCTGCACGCAATAATGTGTAAAGGCTGATGCCAAGGATGTACCTAATGGGCCCGCGTTCTTACGTTTAGACGTAAGCTCTGATGAGAGCTCTGCTGCTCCGTTAAAGGTCACGAGTGAAGGAATAATCCAACGGTCTATGCCTATCCTCTATGTAGTTTGCATCCTTTAAAGGAGCCAACGACTGAAACCCAAAGGCTTGGAAACCTAAAATAACACGTGACGTCATTGCGTCTGAATATAAGTATCTTTTAATCTCTATCAAACGTCATGCGTGTAAAAATAAGTGTAACAAAAAAACCTTACCCAAAACACTACACAAGAATATACGCCCTGTTTTAGGGATTTGGTTGCTCTTGGAATATCTTCAACTGGTTGTTTCTACTTGTGGTCACACTTGAAAGTTTCTGAAATTATTACTCAATATTATTTTAAACTGTTAGCGAGCTATTATTGCGGGCGAAAGATCACGTCATTCAAATTATTTATTGAAAAGACCAGTTTCTGAAACGCAGAACGTTTGTTTGGTTAAGCAGGGATTACTTATGATTTTTTAAAGGTACTTGTATCTTCTATTTAGTCTCTGGCTAAACTTTTCAACAGTAGCAAGCGACTCAAGGGATGGTGTCAATCCTGCAGGCAACAGAAGTCCGCATTGTCGCCAGACATCCTGATCGTTGTGACCACACAGTGAACATTGCCAACAATTTGAAGCGTATTACTCCCACAAAGCTGATAAATACGGATTTGCATAAGACACATATATTTCAATTCCCATTCTTTTTTAATTAATACCAAATATTAACTATGGATCTTTCTGTTCTGTGTGTAACATATGATACGCGTACTGTACAGTGTATTACAACCAGGCAGACGGCCAAAATGACGGGTAAATATTTTGTATTTCTTTATCCTGAAAGTATTATGTGCATCAATTGCCTTAAGTGCATCCAAGCAGTTTCCTACACCGTGACATACCATTTTACCCTATCTTTGGTCACGTGAAGATCCGGGTTAGAATAAGTCTTCAGCAACTCATGCTTGCCATAAAAGGCGACTCTGTTTTTTAAAAACTAAATTGTCCATCATTAGTAATGAAGGAATGTTGATCAACGCCCCACGAGACGTGCCACCTAACGTGCATGTCTAGAATTAGCGTGCTTATCGATTTATTAATCATAAATACCTACCAAGTTAATGATGTCAAACAATTGCACATAATTAATTGCACATCTTAATGACCAGGATTCCAGGTAAACAACCATCACTCGGAATCGTACAATGGACTGCTTTTCGATGAGTTTTCTTGTGATTATGAAAATGGTTTTGTAGCTTTTATATTCCTGAAATGTCCTGCTGGCAACTACCTGTTCTATAACGGCGATATGTACTTGTATATTTTGCAATCGAATTATGTACGAATGATGAATATTATTCTTGCACGAGGAACCTAACACATTTAAGATGATAATAAAAGCGACAAAACCCTTCCATATTCATAAATAATCTCTGCCCAAAACAAACTTAATTGTACGATTCCGACTATAACATGAGCATGTGTTTAATATAAAAAGTCATGATGCTAGAGGTTAGCGAAAAGATGACCCACCGGTGGCATCCGTCACAAACACATACAAAGGCAAGTCAATTGTGCACCTGAAAAACACGAGAACATATGTTACAAGTCAAAATAGGGAATTGACATTTTCGTCACTGATGCGTCCATTTCATAATTAAAGAAATCTGAATCTTTATGCATAGATCTAAAAATGAAACAGATGAAGCGGCCTCACCGGTCTCCTTTATTACGTCACGTTAAGTTACGTTAGGTTACGTTCCCAAACGAGGAACCGACTAGTGCCGGTTTATTCAGGTTAATAAACAAATGCATTAGGAAGCTTTAGTGAAGATACTGGTAGTTATTCCTATATAAAGTAACTCATATCTGCACATGCTATCTGAATCGTCATTATTATTTCCATTAAGACACGTGCATTCCCTAAAGGCATTTGTCTGAACCTGTGAAGATCCGGGTTAGAATAGGGTTAGAGACAGCGATAGTAAGATGAGATATGGCTTCATGTAAAACCAATCTTATATTAAACAACTAGAAAGTAGTAATACCCTAAAACGTGACAGAAGATGCACGGATCATGGACTCGCTGTTCTCGCACGGCTCTTCATGACGTCAGAGCCTGGATAATGAGTAGCGTATGAGTCACATGAGACCATTACATTCACGTTATTTTCCTTTGTCTCTCTTTATGTTTACATAGACTGAAATATTGACTCAACGATCCTTGTAATATGGTGATAGTGTAGAACTGGTACAGTTTGCACTTGACCGTATTTGCTGAAGCCTACATGCGTACAATGACCGTCGGACAATGACTAGAACAATGAATGTGTTGATCTGATGGCAATACAACTAACATGGTCGTCAAACAATATCACTGATAATTACAACATAAGATGTTACGACAGCTTCCAGTCCAATTATATTTCATTACCATGACGTCTGCTTCGAGTGTGTCCATAGTACATTTCTAGTATCCGGCGCGTGGATATAATGTTTGATAGTTTTTTTTGTTTTTTTTAATTCGTTATGGTATTTTTTCGTTGGGTAAGTAAATAATGAATCAAATTTGATCGTACCTGCAAGTTCATGTTACCCAAGGTTGAATGTATTTTCACATAGCTTTATGCATAACGTTGTCCTTATGACCTTTTGATTGCCAGGATCCCGTGTACGTGGGTTCGAATCACAGATAATGATTATAACACCCTACCCGTAATTTGGGGTTGCATAAAGGTGGTAAACTGCATTCCTTTCCTCCAACATCAAGCAGCCTGCATTTGTTGTTACTGAAATACAAAGCGATGTTAAGCACAACTCCTGATCATTGCAATATGTCAATCTCTTTACAGAGCCGCCTTGGACAGCGGACTCCTCAACATCCGCATCCACAGCCAGGAGAACAACTCCTGGGTTGGAGTCATTGAGGACCCACGACTAAGCCGCGACTACGACGACATCGGAGCTCTATACTACGTAGTTGCTGTCGTCCTCATTTATGGTTTATCCATCGTCATGATGATCGCGTCTCACATTCGTAAAAACAAGCAAGACAATCAGCTTAGGACGTATCTAAAGGAGATGGTTCTACTCAGAAAGAAGGTCCGGAGGGAGAAGCTGTTTGATAAAATGTCTGCCTTTACATCCATAACAACCGGATCCTTCAAAAAGAAGGTTTCTGGTGAAGGAAGTCCCAAACCCGGGAAGAAGTCCGAGACTTGCGAAGTTTCAAAAACTCCTTCCTCGTCACAGGAACCAGCCGAAGAGAAGGAAGCTCTCAATAGCAGGAAGGAGAGTGACAACGATTCTGTGTTTCTCTTGCCAGGGGACTTCTGCATTGACATGAGTAGACTTGATCTCCCTTCCCTCAAGCCAGACACAAAGACCCAAGTTAACATCCAGATTCAGAAGGACAAATCGAGTGTGTCATCGTGACAAATTAATTGCTTGAGTACTTATGGCTTGCAAATGTTTTGTTGAGTTTATATTGACCTGCGAATGTAAGGTACGCGTGAGTGCTATGAATTTTGTGCATTGGTTTCCACAAATTAAAAAACAGAAAGTGATCCTCTCGCTTGGACCCTTTACCTGCTGGTACTTAATGAAGAGTCTTTGCAGAAAATGATATGATATTTACCTGCGGTATTATCTGTGTGTTGCTAGATCCTATGCTGGAATTTCGATGACAGAATCAAGATCGGGTTGAACTGTTTTTGAGCGCGGTAGCAGCATAATGGTTTTGTCAGAATGCAGCTTATAAGGCACGTGTTGATACTGACACACAAGGTAAAAGCCTTTCTTCCACGGATTGGAGGTACTTTGTTTTCTCGAAGTCATTAAGGAAATCATGTCTATTGGTCTTGTAGTCACCTCGCCATATTGCATCCAATGACGATGTAGATAATGCTTCAGCTAGAACTGTTTGTCTGCCTCTAAGGTTGTGAACCATCGGTGAACATATATGTAATGGAATTATTTAATGTATTTTAGAGTGATACTTTTCTGGATGGTTTTGACAGATAACGTTTTTAAGCAAGATAAGAATGGAGTAATAGTGCATACAAGATTAAGGTTGCTGTGGTTTTCGACGGATCTTGCAAATGCTGCCATTATTGTTTTGTTTGCTTCTGATCTGGTCTATTGTTGGATGACACACAGACGTTTAAGTTAAGTTTAGGAATCTAACCCATTGTCTCATGATTAGAGGAATCATCAACCTCTATACTGATGAACATTAAGAGTTAGCAGACAGACAAGACTTCAATCGAAGTTACCAAACTGATCAAGCCTCCTTATTAGAAAAGTAAGGACAACACTGTGAACCACTAGAGAGACGTCCATACATAATAATTATAGTTAAACGGTCTGTAGAAATATTATACTTGGAGACATCATACGTGAAATGACTAGACCACTCTCTGTCTGTATCCCTGTCGTGTATATCGCGGACCGGTTGTATCGAAGTCATGTATGATGTTTGCTTACCGTCACGTGGCCTTCGGCATTTCGAAACAACCACCCTGATACAATACCACCATGAGAGACGCCTCATGTACGTTTGGTATTTTACCTTTAAACGCAGACATTCAGAAAGCCAAGACCTGGCAGTTTGGATTTTGGTTATTATTCTAAATACAACGTTGGTTAAATATCCTTTGATATGAATATAGTTTGTGTTGTTTGTACATAAGCATGTTACTGGGTTTTAGTTCTTGTTTTAAAAGTGAAGTGAGACGTACATTGATTACTGAAAGATTATTATTTTACAGGTTTTGTTTATATGCAAAGCATTGCATATCTAATTAATGTATGTTGATTTTCTTATACATCAATCAACTGCAAGGCGTATCTTATATGACTCGTAAGTGATTAATAGTGACGATATTTTATGCAAAAAAATAATTTAATATACAATCGCATCCTAATCAAATAAATTATTTTTGCTTCTGTACCTGAATACGTGATTTGATAAACACGTGCAGGTCCATGCGTAATTATAATTATTTCAACTACGTTATTGTAATGTTAAAACCAGCTGTCGAAGGCATCACTTTACCCATATACAGTGAAGTAAGGCTAAAACGAAGTCTTTATTTTTAGTCATAGTAGGCGATTACTGGCTAGAAAAGAGTATGATCATCTCATAAAAAATGGCTCAATTTTAAAAGGAGGATAGTCTAAGATAAACAGTGGTTGCTATTATTTTATTCTTGTTTCACGATGGAATTCACAATTTAAACATTGTGTCCATAATGTATTCTGTGGTCCTGTGTGTAGGTGTTACTGTATTGTGTTATAATCGTTGGTGTTATTCCGATGCAGCATTCCGACCAATACAAGTACATGTTTAAATATCTCTACATTTTGCCTTTAAACAAATAGGTTATTGCCTAAGGGGTATTCATCTCAGTCACATGCTATACACCAAACCTAATGACACATTCATTATGAAAAACCTACAATCACAAATCTTTGTACAATGCCAAGTGTTCACGAAACATGCGAGCATGTCCTCTCCTACTGTTAGCACCAGATGTTCGTAAAGACTGCAGTCTCCATAAAATAGTCAGTGACACTTTTATTTTTAACGCGTACATATTTTACATTGGTATTCTCGTTACAGATTCTCTCTGGTATGCTGTGTAGAGTAGCCGTTTAGCATCCAATATCCCGTACCTATCCTAATAGCATTACGAAACGCTCAATAAGAAGTTACATGACAAGTCTGTTAATAAAGTCCATAGTAAGAAAGAAACATTCCATGCTTCCTCTAGCATAATAAGGCACCAAGACGCATACAGACTGACATAGCTCCTCTTTTACATTGTCTAACAACGGTAATGTTCTTGCTTCTATCACATTTAAAAGGCTATGTATTGATTACAAGTGGCCGTGTACCGTCTAGTGATTAGATAAGCATGACGTATCTTATGTACGCCTTGTACTAACTCTTCGTCTGTATTCTCTATCCAGACAAGGGACATCATTGCTCATTACGTATAAGAAGCCCTACAATAACATGGAATGAAGGAACACTCCCAATTGACATACAGTTTTCCTTGACCTTACACTTAATTCGCCCTTTGAATTAAACCAGGTTCTGTATTCAAAAGGCATACCACAAGGGCAGTAACTCTTCAAATAGAGGCTCGGGGGATTAGAGGATTCAGAACCAAAGCACGTGTGTCAATAGAACAGCCGGTTTGGTGGTCGACTTCAGATCACACAGCCCCAAGCGCCGGACATGGCTCAGATATACCAAGTGGCTGGTCACTTTCGCTGGGTCACTTCAAGAACGACATATTTGCCTTATGGGCGGGTTAAGATGGTTCACGAAATGGTTTGACATGAATGAGGAGATTGCATTAGCCTAGAGCCTGAGCAGAATACCGCATCAAGAACACTGTAGAATTGTTATTTATATTTGATAATTACGTAATCAATAGCCAATCATATGATAGATATTATAGATTTTGTATTCTTGATGTGAATTTAATATATTTGTATTGCCATTGTTGCTATGTATACGTTTACATGCGTTTATTAAAGAAAGACGATATTTAATGGTAATATCAATTGTCTATTTTCATTGGTGTCAAGGTAACTTGATATTCTGCACTGCTGCAGACTTATGAATGTAATTGTTGTCAAATAGCATCACTGAAACCGTTGCTTTGTCGAGAAAATTCAGACGGAGTATAAAACTGGTATTTGTGAGCGAGCGAATCGGGTTTAACGTCGCTTTAAACCCTCCCGTAAAGTACTAAAATCAGTTAGAGGCGACTAATGGGATCGGGTAGTCAGGCTCAATGACTTTGAAGATGCATGTCATCGTATCTCAGTTGTGTAAAGCTTGTTTGGCTCAACCTCGATTATTTACAGACCGCCGTCATAAAGCTTGAATATGGCTGAGTTAAACAACAAACAAACAACTAAAATAATATCAGGGTGTGTCAGCATGATGTTGGAGGAAAGTCACGCAGAATTTGGGGCGGTCGGGTAGCCTAGTGATTAAAACGTTCGTTCGTCACGCCGAAGACCCGGGTTCGAATCCCGACATGGGTACAATGTGTGAAGCCAATTTCTGGTGTCCCCCGCCGTGATATTGTTGGAATATTGCTAAAAGCGGCGAAAAACCAAACTCTTTCACTCACTCACTCACGCAGAATAAACATGGGTGAGTTAGTCACTTTAGCACAAGTACAGCTCTGATATAACAATGATCTTATTTGAGGGAATTCTGAGATTCGAACCAACGACCACCTTAACTATTCGACATAGCAAGCTGCATCTTCGATGTTCCAGTGTATTATTCTTACATCCCCTCGTGATACTTCCTTGACCCAGGCGACATCCTAGCTTCGTTCTGAGTCTGATTCAAAACAATAGCCGTCCAATCAATTTACACAAAACAGCGAGAGGAATTCTGTGCGAAGTCACTGCCAAGTAAAATGGATCAGGCGACGTCAAACAAAGCGGATGGGCTCAGATTGCTTAAAAATGGCGATGCAAACACTGGATAATCGGGGATTGGCGAGTTGCAGCTTTGACTACTGGGCAGATCTCAAGGTTATTTGTTACCACACAACACCTGAACATCGGTATTTCATTTTATGATCACATTTGTTTCAAGAAAACTCATTGAGGACCATGATCAATAATTGTCTATAGGATGCTTTTGATACACACGTCAGCCGGAAATATCAACATTGGGACGTGTTTTGTGTCCATGGGAGATGGCTTATGTATTTCGTGCTGTCTGCAGGCCATATCACACACGTGCTCTTTATTGGTCGTCGCGCTAAGGGAGAGCACTCGTCCCAAACCGGGCGTACCGCTAAGGGACTTATCTCTAACAACCCTATACAATCTGCAATATTCTTAAGAAATAAAACTGAGGATTATAATGGCACCAGGCTTTATCGATTTACTCATACACGGTTTACAGAAAAAACCCACTGGTACATGAAAGATCAATAACACAAATCTTGATGTACATATATTATTTATTTGCACTTTGTTCTGAACTTGAACCACTGTTGGTGGTTTATGGACAAATAAATGAATCATTCTAAATCTGAATTTGAAATTAAAATATTTGCCAGATGAATCTTCAAAGTAGAAGTAATATTTGTTAATTGCTAGCTTCTGGAAATATCAATGAAATCTCTGAGTTATGCTTATGTTATGCTGACGTTGAGTGCTGTGTTGCATCCTGTGAGTTGAGTCTTACGCTGATTCGAACACTACTTCATTATATCACAGCGTGTCGTGGTGAATCAGGTCTTTGCAGCTAATTGACGTTTCCACTTTTGTAAAACCTCCCAGCATGGGCATGGGGATAACGAACTAAGTAACATCATCAGGGCGGACCTAGATTCGACCCATGAACATACCGGTGCCTCAAACGACCTTTGTAACCCTGTCCCTGTTATATTAAGTAACATGAATGAGCTTTATTGTTGAAATGTCAAACAGTATTCCTTCCATGATTATCAGCTGGTTTATGTGTGTCACGGTAATCAATATATGTTCTTGTTGATTAGAGAGCAGATGTTTGTTTCACTCAGTACTTAATTTTATCTAAGCTTGTGGTTGCAGCTATTTAAGTATAATATCAGATAGCAGAACCTTCTACATAAAGTGTTGCAGAAAAACTCACTGAAATTTGATCATGGCACAGAAAGGTATGACGTTCAAATGAGAAACGCGTGAAGAAATTAACGAACGTTTACACATGACTAAGCAGCAGGAAAGAATCGTCAAGAAAAGCCCGGCACATGTAGTGAGTGAGTGGGTGTGGTTTTACGCCGCTTTTAGAAATATTCTAGCAATATCACGATGGGGGACACCAGAAGTAAGCTTCACACATTGTACCCATGTGGAATCGGCGTGACGAGCGAACGCTTTAACCACTTGGCTACCCCACCGCCCCATGGCACATTGAGATTCCCCACCCACTCAACGATGGTACTTGTTGTTACCCTGTCTGGCGCTCGGCATTAAGGGGCTAAATCAAGAACTGGTCGGCTCTGAGTCAGTATCCGTGTCTGAGTGGGGTATTCATGTTTAACTGAGGCATGGTATCTCAGTGTGCTTGCACTGTAAATAGGTATCACTCCGGACTAGTACAAGCAGCCACACACACAAACAGACACACACGTCGCTATAAAAGTGCAATAACATAGGACGCGACGTTAAACCCTATTTCACCTCACCTCACCGTACACTGAAGCCTCTTAGTAGAATGAGACCCTGGAACGTCAACTGACATTCAAGCCGTTTCAGTGACACTTCACATGTTACTCGTCGACTGGCTTGATAAGAAACACAATCTCTTAAACACAGGGACAGAAGAAACGTATCGAATCCGATCTCAAATGAACAAATACTGTTGAAACATGTGTATCTTTGGAATACCAAGATAACCTACAATCTATCCATACGCCCACTAAAAGCAAGCATGCATATACCCTTAGCTTTGCATTGTAAATAAGCATCCCAAATAGTGTGTAATTTCAATCCACACATTAGGACGACCAACAACGGCAACACGTCAATATTTATGGTTTTTATGCACACCGTAAGGCACATCAAGAACTTTTTCATTGGGAGATAAAACGGATATTTTTGAAAGATTTGCAGGCGTTTAAATATTAACATCAATTCTGAATGACATACCCAAATCTGAGAACACATAAGCTCCAATTCCAAGGGATAATTTTGTTTCTACCAATCAGATTGCAGCATTAATTTTAAAATATGTAAAGACTTTCTGGAATGTAGTTATGTTATATTGTTTATGCATCTGCCAGGTTTATCTGGAACTCCCAACTTTACAATTAGGTAGTGCATATTGAAGTTCAGAATCTCGTTCTGGACAAAACACGGCTTTCATTACATATACTTCCTACTTATGCAAACCTGGAATGACATTTATTTCCAACAATTAAACAGAAATGCCAATATGTTGGGAATGGAAGTTCATCAAATGTTTTTACAAACATTGCAGCATGACAAAGTGAAATTATTTGCCCTGTTATCCTCCATCCAAAAACTGCACTCTCTTCCAATCTTTGAAAAGACCTGTTACGATTTTTCAATACCTTAAATGAGTTATTAACCAATATGGCTAGGTTGAAAGTTTCTCATTCTATCAATTACATTACTTTGAAACTATTTTATGAGACAGTTGGTGCCTCACTGGTCAGTAACAATCCTGGTTTCTGAAGTGGTTTCCACGACTGACTCGTTTATGAAGCCATTAATCGCTATTCCTTCTGCTAGAGCTCTTCAAATATATGTGGATATATCACATCGTGCTCTGAAAGAAAGTAATCCCATTCCGTCAGGTTAATCCCCACAGCTGCTCAGCGTCCATCCATTGCCCTGTAGGTCAGGTTTGCTACCGAGGGGTGAAGTAGATATTTGAACACGACACTCACGTCGCCCCAAACCACGAGTACCTTCACATCGATTGACCCGAACACACTGCCATCAACTTGTGACATGTGTTATTGACTAGGTAAACTTGAATCAATATTTGGAGCTGTATTTATCAGTCGCTCTGCTGGAAGTATCGTAATAAATTTCCCAAATATACTGCACAAATTAAACACGACATGCCCAAATGTGATGAAAGCGTTTGTCACAGCGGAATTCCAATCACGTCTCTTTGCCTGATTAAGTTCAGTTACACGTATGTCATTATGAAGCCACTGAAACACTCCTTTCTGTCACGTGTTATTCGCAACGCACTTCAGACTGAGGATAGGAACTGTTGAATGTGTCTACAGATTAAAGCTTTGCTGTAAGTCCATCAGCCGTACTAAATCTCTCACTGTCACTTATGTCAATACACCAGAGCAGCAACAACATCCAAGTGTCCGATCAGGCTCGTTTTACCCTGGAAGTGATGGCACAGATTAAGAAACAGATTTACCACTCTTTGCTTAAGCTTCTGAATTGTCTTTTGTCTTTTTACTGTAATGCTTTCTAAGCCGTTTAGGACTTTGGAAGAGACAATATGCTACTTAATAGTTAATGGGGAAAGTGAGATTTTGAAGCAAATCATGGGTTGCTGGTGATCTATTCTTACCCAGAATACAAACATGGTTTACTGGAATAAGTAAGAGAGTTGTCAGAATGACAGGTAGCGTAGGGCATGCTTATTATTGTTGAAAATACCTGGTTGCATCACTGATTATCAATGAGTACTTTATATAATTTTCACAGCAATCTTGCCTTTTTAGCTCATGGAATCCGTTTCGGCATTTAATCAAGATTGATTATTCTCTTGCGTTAGAGTTTTATATTTACGCCGTTGGTAACGCGAATAGTAACCCGATGAAAGTAGGTGTAATAATATGCTTTACCTGATTTTATAGACCACGTAGCAGTGGCTCCATTGCAGATTTCTGCCTCTGAACATAATATTGGATCAATCGTTCGGACTCTTGTAACGTTTGCAGCATGCTAAAGAAATGTGACCGAATTTATGAAAGTCCTTTTGGCGCTGTACATGGCTTCAAGCCATAATTAATTGTCTGTCTTTGCTATCTGAAAGCCCA